AGGACATGAAGGAATATAAGCTCTCCTCAGATGGTATATTTTGACTGTTATGAAAATATTGATGATGATGATGATGATGATAAACATCTTAATTGGCCTTGACTATTCTACAACTTGAAGTTTCTGGAGAAGTCTATTAGAAATCCCCTGCTTGAATATAGCTCAAATGTGATAGATAGATAGATAGATAGATAGATAGATAGATAGATAGATATTTTTAAAAGAATAAATACAATACAAATTTTGAAAAGGAGTACAGAAAGTAAAGCAATAAGTAGGTGAAAAAAGGTACAAAGAAAGAAATAGAAAACAAAGAAAAGAAAAAGTTATAAAGAAGCAGCTTTTGATCTTTTTTGACCCTTCACACCATGTGTGCTGCTGCATTCTTGGCCAGCAGCAATTTTAAAATCATCTTCAGGGGCTATCCAACAAAACAGCACATTGCTATAGTCAAATCTTGATGGCACCAGAACATGGCTTAGCGAAGCCAGATGTCTCTCCTTCAGATAGAGCTACAAATGGTTTACCAGCCAAAGCTGATAAAAATCCTCTTTCTCTCAGGTGTTATATGCCTCTCGTGTCAGTGTCGGATTCAGAAGAAGCGATAGGCTGAAAAACTGAGAGAGCAAGATCTAGCTTTCAAATCCAGTCCCAGCACAAGTCTAGTCTGATTTTAGCTGCATCTTATTCTCCCACCTCTAGTGGAGACACACAGAACGCCTGAAGGCTTCCAGTCCTTTCAGGAAAGGAGTATAGGTGAATACAATCAATATATTGATAACAACTACCAATCAGTTAATGATCCTTCTTAGAGACTAAAGCTGTAAAATAATATGTGAAGCAATACAGAACTTTATGGGACACCCCGTCCCCCATACACACACACATACACAGATAGTTCTAAAGGAACTGAACAGAAGATTCGAAATATACTTTCTGTTAGTATCAGAAGAGGTAGAAGATATAGGAATGGCACCTCCAACACTAGCTTTTCCAAAAATTGAATTATATAATATGATTAAAGGTATCAATAAATTTGGAGAGATCCAAAAGTATAGACAGTTGCATTCTTCCTATCTGTCTTCTAATAAAGTTCATCAATCAGTACAAGAAAGGTCAAATCCATGTAAAATCTGAGTATATGTTGAAACTACAAAAGATACAAAATCCAATTTGATCTAACCGCTGCTGGAACCACAGTACTAGAATACTGCACACAGTATTGCTGATAGTTAAGATTGGTTTCTTCAATGAGAGCCTCTCTATTTACTTGGGCAAGTCCAGCTGCCCAAGGGTGGTACTAATGATCTGAGAAATTACTGGACGAAGTCCTTAGAGGTCTAGAAATGTTTGAATTTTTATATCTTGTTTTTATTGCAGCGTAGAATTCAAAGAACTGTAACCCTAAAAGAACTGGAAGGTATCAGGTTGACAAAGACTGCAGGATACGGTCCAGTCCATGCTTCTCAAGGGTAGTTTTCTTGTTGATTGAAGAAAGTATGAATGAAGGCCTAAAAAAGACCAAGAACTGCCGAAGTGAAGTGTGGGTCTTGGCTTTGGTTTTGGCCACCAAAACAAAAAGGGAGTTCCTGTAATCATTTGATTTCCTTCTTTCTCTATCTTTCTGGGGATGGCAGATCTCTTTTTGTCCAAAGCACAAGTGCCTGAGTGGAATGGCTGTCAGAGCTTGAGGTATAGTTGTGTAGGAGCTGCGAATCTAAGAACTTACGTTCATCATTCGGAAAAACATATGAACTGGGTTGTTGAATACCACAGCCCCTATCTACATTGCCTTTGTGTAGTGTATTGTGCTTATTTTGTCAGTATTTTATACTGTCCCTTCAATCAACCCAGGGCAATGACTGAAAAAGCAATATCATAACCAACTTGCAATGTAAGAGGTGATTATCTCCAGTTGAGGGGAGTGACATTTGTGACAATGACTAGGGAGATATGTGAGACTATGACTAGAATTTGAGAATGGAATTTTCTGAAATAAACAATGCTGAAAATGGCAACTTATCTTCTCACAATAATATATAAAGCACATACTGCTTGCACTGTCTTTTCAAATCCAGTTGTGTTTGATTCAAACTTTTATAATTCTGTTTTACTCTAATAGATCTTTATACATGATTAACAAAAATCAGTTTACACATGCCAAAATAAGATCATTTAAATTTCATTCACATACTCAGAAAAACACAAATACACACCTCATTGGCAACTAATACTGCTGCGACTGGAGAAACACACACACAGGTTTTTCAGCTAGTGTGAAGGATGTTTCACATGCTATGTTATAAAGAAGAAGGACAAGACTTAGGAATTAGGTTATCCTTTATAAAATGTTCAAACAATGGTTCATTTAGAGAAGGCATAAATATTTTTGTACCCTGATATCTCCATTCTGTAGACTTATATCAGAAATCTTATTTTAGGCTCCTGGGTAGATAGATCTCCCCTTCACGAAGCTGCACTTCAGGGACGTCTCCTGACTTTAAAAACCTTAATAGCACAGGTAAGAAACTCCAGTTTCCTTGTATGTGAAAGGCTCTGTTGAATCATTAAAGGATGACTATACAGCACAGGTTGCACAAATAGATACAATTCTAAGTGGACAAACAGTATGGAATTAGTTTGCCATTGTTCTTTGACTTTCCAATCTAGCCCACAATCCTGGAATTCTCAGGTGTTTCCCCATCTTAGTACTAACCACGACTGTTCCTGCTTAGCTCCTGAGATCCATTGATCACTGGAATTTTAAGAGAAAGCCATGATTATAATTAAAAGATCATCACACTAGCATTTTGAGGTCAAGAAACTAAAACCCATCCTGCAAAGAATTCATTTTAGCATTAGGAAAAAAAAAATTAAGGAGAGAGTAGAATTGTTATTTTTGCCAATAAACATTGACTTTGCTATTCTTATTGGCTATTTTTTATGCTTAAACTTAGAAATTATAAATATATTTGTATATAAATATATTTATAAAATCTTACTTGATTTCATAGCAGTTTTTCTTCTCCTTTTCATCCCTTCTGTTCTTTTAAATGTTAAAAGTCTGATAAAATTTTGTGGGCTATTAGGAAAATAATACTTTTCATTCCTATTGACACATGATTATTTCATTAGAAGAGAATATATGTAGCTCAGGGTTGAACTGTGGAGTCCTTGCTGCTCTCTGAGCTTGGTTGTTTGCTTGCAGACATGGAGCAAACCCCACACTCACTATCACCGATGATGTTACCTAGTCGGGTAATGAAATGTCTGCAAGCAAACCACCAAGTTCAGAGGGCACCAAGGATTCCACAAGATTATTTGATTGTTTAATCTTCATATAATCCCAACAAGATTTTAAACTCTCCGAAATCTGAGTTGATTTTAGTGGAACAGGGCAATAGAAAAAGTACTGTAGAACACAGCCTAATGTAATCATAAAAGGAGCAGAAGAAATACAAAAAAATAATAAAAAAAAACCTTTGAGAATTATAGGATTTTTGTAATATTAAAAAATCCATCCATATTGCTCATCCTTTGCATCTACAAGAATAATATTGCCAAATTTTCTATGTTTCCCTTTACACTTCCCCACAGAGAAAATCTGAGGTTACTAACCAGCACAACACTTTCTAACCCAAGATTTCAATTATATCTTTAGATGTCCATCAACACCCCCAACAGTATGCAGTGTAGCCAAACAGAAAACCTAGATTCATACTGTGGAACAAAATCTATTATAGAATAATAATATTTCTATGCCATTTTTATCCAATGAGTTCCAGTTAATATATATGATCCCTCATGACTCCCCCTCCCCATTTTATAACAATCCTGTGAAGCAGACAAGTAGATAAGGCTGAGATATAGTGCTAGCCCATATATTACATTTCTTATATCTATTTTTTTTTTAAAAAAGAGAAATGCAAGAACACTGGGACTGTTAAAATTATATCTGCTCATTGAATTCAATAGACAGATACTTTATAGGGGTATATTTTGTTAACTAATTCTTAATTTTAAACAATTTTCAGCATTACATGGAAGATTTCTATTTGTTCTGATTTCTAGGGTTTCAATGTGAATATTATTACATTAGATCGTGTTTCTGCTCTTCATGAGGCTTGTCTGGGTGGACATGTTGCTTGTGCAAAAGTATTACTAGAACATGGTGCTTGCGTGAGTATGACCATGAATTAACAACTTGCTGTAAGTTTAACAGAGCATTTTGTTAGAATACCAGACATGTGGCTAAGAAACAACAGTCCTTTTGTTTATTTTATCCCCTGAGCTCAGAAAAAGGATTTTTCTTCCCCTGTACTCTGAGAAAATGAGCTGATTTGGCTATGGAGAAATGATGTTCTCCTTTTTGGTGGCAGATCATTCAGTTTTCTTCTTTGCATTGGATGAAAGGACAATCTATTCTCTGCACTGCATGGCATCCATATAAATGATATGCATATATGTGAATGATGATACAACCAATAGTCTGAAACTTTATATTAAGCAATAAAAGTGTAAAACTACTTGCAGTCCTTGGTCAGCTTCCCCTAGTAGAAGCCTCACTCCTAGCTAGTGATTATTTGACATGTAAGGTATTTGCTGCTTCTTCTCCAATTTGCTGGTAAGAACCACGTGATGTTCTGTATCTTCCCAGAGCTATCCCAAGAGACCTTTCCGCCCTTGACTGGCTGAAAATTATTTCCCACCTATGTCATCATGCATATGTTCTGTATAAGAAAGAACTGCATATTGATAATAATTATTCATATTTAATATGAATACCCTTATCAAGATTATTGATTATTAATCAATAACTTGATCATATCGGCAGTCCCAAGAGGTAACTTTCTTGCAGGGTATAAGTCTTTCCCTCTGTGTGATATGCCAATCCTCAACACTGTCTCTTAAATTTACATGCCTTTAAAAAAAATGTTTTTTTAATGCTCACCAGCAATTAATCCACCCATCCCCACCCATCTTTGTTTCTTGTTTTTAATGGATTATTGTTGGGGAGGTAGTTTTTATTTTATTATGTTTTTATTACATATTTTTGTTCTACCCTAAACAGCCCTGGGATTCTTAAAAGAACAAGCAATATAGAAATACTTTACATCTTATAATATAAACGCACGGTATAATCTTCATTAGGGTTATTCTCAGGAACCCTCATGAGTTCTTGATAAGTCTTGCCTTTTCCTGCTGTAGGTGAATGCTGTGACTGTAGATGGGATGACGCCTCTGTTTAATGCTTGCTGCAGCGGCAGTGCAGCCTGTGTCGACATGCTCCTTGAATTTGGTGCAAGGCCTCAACTGGAGAACCACTTGGCTTCCCCAATTCATGAAGCTGTCAAGAGAGGTAATACTGCAGACAAAGGCAGAGCAAAAATCCACGTGAGCACTAGCTAGCAGCCAAGGACCTGGGAGTTCTCTGTATCCATTTTCCCCCAAATTGTTTTCTCCCAGCAGCTTTTCCACCTGAGGCAAGATGTATGTACCTACCTACATATTTATTTATATCTCTCTCTATTTCACTTACCCTCGTGTCAGTCTCCATAACAGAGGGTGAGAAGATGTGTACTGGCCTCTCTCTTCTATCCATGGACTTTCTCCGTGCATTTGGCCACTCTGAAAAATAAGGGGCCTCAGTCACATGGAAAACTCTCACTCCAACCACACTCTAAGCATGGAAGCTAATGGGACATTTGCAAGAGTGATTTATTCACTATTATGGGCATCTGCAGGAGCTTGCTGCTTTCAGCAGAACAAGGAAACCAGCATCAGAGCATCATGCTGCAAGTGTTGTCCTTTTCATATGAGGGGGCACTACTGCTTTTGTCATTCTGACCACCCACCCACCTCCTCCTGCTATATATATTGCCAATTCAACAAGGCCTCCCTTCAGTTTGCAGTATGGGATGAGGGGCTGTGGCTTATATGCATTTTCCCTGACTGCAAGCAACAACAGGCTTATCTGTTCTGTCCAGCTGACTATCACCAGAACGGGCAGGCCACATATTTGTACAGGAGGAATATACTTTTTTTGTATGTGAGTACCTTCAAGTCAGTTTTTTACTCCTTGCAACTGCCTGAACTAGTCCCTGCCATTTTCTTGGCAAGGTTTTTTGGAAGTGGTTTACCGCTGCCTCCTTCCTAGGGCTGAGAGAGAGTGACTGGCCCAAGGTCACCCAGCTGGGTTTGTGCCTAATGAGGGACTGGAACTCACAGTCTCCTGGTTTCTAGCCTGGTGCCTTAGCCACTACACCAAACTGGCTCTCGGAATATACTCATCTCCCTCTTTCTCAGATATGGCCTCTGGATGCAATTTCCTGATACAGTTTTAAAGCAAACTTCCCCCCTTTATGTGTCTGCCTTTTAAAACAATGGCCTGCCTTTCTAGTTAGCGATGATCATTTAAAATATTTCTTGTCCCACTGGCACTTGTGCCACTTTCTTTCCAGCAGTTAATAAATACAGTTCAATGTGCTTAGAATGCCTGAATATAAATAATTGGATACTCTCAGTATTTCTAGCAATGTATAATTTAACTGGATTATCTGTTTTTTGCATTTATATAGGACACAGAGAATGTATGGAAATTCTTTTAGCCAATAATGTGGATATGGACCAAGATGACCCAAAGTTTGGAACACCACTTTATGTGGCTTGTGTGCATCAGAGAACAGATTGTGTAAAGAAACTTCTAGAATTAGGTAAAGTTATCTATACTTGGGAGGGACATTCACATTGAATTATTTGATGGGTAAATGGGCTGCTGCATTCCTAGAAATAGCAACATTTCACTATCAGTAAGTTTGGTTGGTGAATATTATTATTCCCACATTATAAGCAAGGACTGAAAGAGCATTAATGGCCTGAACTAAGGCCATTAAATTGTACACACAACAGACACAAAACCTGAACATATTTCTTACTTGGTCACCATACACTACTACTTCCCACTGAGAGTTCTTGCTTTGTGATGTTTCCTCCACAGATTTCTTACACATTTCTTATCCCCTTGTCTCTACTCACATTATGAACTTTTAGAATTATATGTATGAAAAAGATTGAGCATGAGGGACTGAATAAACAAGAGTAATGTTTCATGATTATAAAATCTCCACTTTCTATTTTGATAAAATATTCAGTTCCCTGATCTTAAATATTGATTACATTTAATACAGGAAGAAGAACATTTTTTGTGGAAGAAATCTGGCTGCCAGATAATAGATTCAGTGAAATATCTGGATTTGCATTTGATAGGCAATTATCAAGAAATATATCAAAACAATTATGTCAAGCTATGGAAAGAAATTAAAAGAGATTTTTTAAAAATACTTTTTATTAAAGAAATTTTTACAAAGTAAAAGCATTTAAAGAAAAAAGAAAGTAAAAAAGGAAAGTGGTGAGTAAATAGTAGAGAAATAAAAGAAAAAAAGAGAAAAAGAAAAATAGAAAAGATATAAAGAAGTGGCTTCCAATCTTCTTTACAGCACTTATAAATGCATTCATTTTTTATTCTCTCTCTCTAAGGTAACATCATGGTTCCCTTCTTTCCATATTCTACCCTTTTAAATCATTAAACCCATAAATCACAAGTTCATTTTTTCCCCATTTTCAGTAAAAAGTCCATAAAGGGTTTCCAGTCACTGACAAATGTAGCTATTCTTTTCTTTGATCAACCAAGTCGGTTTCGCCATCTCTGCAAATTCTGTCATCTTCACCAACCATTCCTCCACTGTAGGTATTTCAGAGTCTTTTCGTCTTTGTGCGTACAATAATCTTGCTACAGTTATCATGTACAAAAACAATCGTCCATAAGTATTTTCTAGTTGTTTGCCCATTAGTCCCAGCAAGAAAAGCCCTGGTTTCAGTTGAATATTAGTCTTTAAAATTCTTTGTATTACCATGTGAGAAAGAAATTGAAAGGATGAAAAATTTAAAGCTTTCTTGGTTAGGATTGTGTTTATTAAGAATTATAAAAATTAAGTATTACCCAAGATAAACTACTTGTTTCAAATAACACCAATTCCAATTCCAGAAAAAAAAAACTTTACAAGAAAGGCAAGAAACCTCTAGTAAATTTATATGAAATGGAAAAAACAAAACAAAACTAGAGTTAAATTCAAAATTCTACAAGACTCAAAAGACAGAGATGGACCCGCTCTTCCAAACTTCAAACTCTATTACAGACCAAGCTGTTTGCCATGGCTAACAGAAAGGATAAAATCCACAAACAGTAGAACGCCAGTATTGGAAGGAGCTGGACTTCACAAATAGTTATTGTACAGAGGTATGAAAGACAGCAAAACTTTAAAGGACATTTTATAAGACAGATCTTGAAAGAAGTATGGAACCTTACAAAAACACATTAAGTCCAACATCTTCACCACTAGCTTCTCTTTTAAATGCTTTTCAGGTTGGAAATAACTATAATAAGAAAAGCGCAATTACATATAAAAGGACCAAATACACATCAAGAACTACTTGGTGAAGGCTGGAAGATACCATGGTTAATGTACCTACAATTGTTGGAAGAATAAAAACTGACCTCAAAAGTGAGGGAAGGCTCCTAAGAAAAATTAAAGAATTTGAAATGCTCATATAGGATTAAGATCACCTACTATAAACTGTTACTCAGATATGACATGAAGACAGAACAAATAATGCATGATAAAATGGATGCAAAACTTTAAAGAATTATGGGAAGAATTATGGAACAAATCTATAAAATTTACCCCAAATTACTCTTATTATTATAAGAGAAAACTGGAATAAAATGTTTTATACCTGGTGTACAACTCCATCAATAATTACCAAGACAGATAAATCATATAGTAATAAATGCTGGAAATGCTTTGAGACAGAAGGGACATTTTATCATATGAGGTGGACATACAAAAAAACCTCAAAACTACTGGAGAGAAATACACAGCACTAATCAGAAATGTTAGAAATCAAATTTGACATGAAACCACAATTGTTGTTACTAGACCTAATTCTAAATCATATTAACAAAAAAATCACAGTTGACTAAGATACGTGTTCCTGGCCACAAGGATAAACTTAGCACAACATTGGAAAAGAGATATGTTGTTGATGATATCAGACTGGGAATTTAAATATGAATAATGGAAAAATTAACAGCATATATTCACAACAGAAGTTTAACTAATTTTAAGCAAAAATAGGTTCCATGTATACTACACAGCAAGGCAAATATAAATATATAGAGTATGATTTTTAAGGGAAAAAGAATTAACTAAAGAACTGAGTTCAGAAATACACAAAAATTTTAAATGTTTATAAATATTGTACATCAGTTGGAGTTCAACAAAGGTGAGGTTAGGAACTAACATTTACTTTGTATATAATGTTTTTAGTAGTTTTTCTTCTTTCTTTTTGTTTTAATTGCAATTTTTAATAACAAATAGTGGAGATTTTGGCATTCAGCTCAGAGATTCAAACCCTTTCTCATATTGTTAAAATAATTTAATGTAGTTTGCTTTTTATGGTTAATTTGACATCAACCATTTACTGAACCTTAACTGTACAAATCTTGGTAATTCCTTTGTCCACATACTGATACTATATTTTTGTATCAACTATTTTTTTCTTTTTTCTTTTCTTGTTCATCTTTTTTTTAAAAAAAAAATTAATAATTAAAAAAACATACTAAAAAAAAGAATAAAATTTACAGTTTGATTTACTGATTTGTTTCTAAGTAATGCCGAGAAGCTAGTTTGCTTTAATGTCTATGGCTTTTTTTTCAAGGAGCCAGTGTCGACCAGGGGAAACGACTGGACACCCCACTTCATGCAGCTGCTAGAAAATCTAGTGCAGAAATTATCAACTTGTTAACAGATTATGGGGCCAGTCTGAAGTGCAGAAACTCTGAATGCAAATGTGCCCTTGATCTTGCTGCACCTAACAGCTCTGTTGAACAGGCGTTGTTGCTTCGAGAAGGTAATGGTTCAGAAATCATTTATTTATTTATTTAGCAAATTTATATAGCCACCCATCTCACAAACGGTGAGTCTGGGTGGCTTACAAGCAAAATAACGATCAAAACTATATCACGATATAAAAAACATCAGACATAAATAACAACAAAAAATAAAGCATAAAAATATAAAGGAATAAAAACATAAAAGAACCCAAGATAGCAGGAGGACCACCATCATTTAGCATCATTCAGCCACTTTGCAGGTTTGCCATGGAATCCCCAGGGTTGATGGAAGAACCACATTTTCAAGGCTTTCTGGAAGACTAACAGAGATGGGGCTAACCTCACCTCAGGGGGAATGAAGTTCCAGAGATGATGGCTACAGCAGAAAAGGCACATCTCCTAGGTCCTGCCAGATGGAACTCTTTAGCAGACAGGACCTGGGGCAAACCTCTTCTGCTGGACCTGATGGGACGGGTAGGTGTAACTGGGAAGAATAATTTATGTAAATTATTGGGCTTGGCTGCTGTTTGAGGGCATCCCATATGTGCTAATTGTTGTATAGATATATACAACTGGGGGTGGTGTTTGCAGGACGGGAACATCAAAGGCAAGATGACATCCCAAGCACAGCCACACATATTTTGTACATCCGTTGACATTACACGCACATACCAAAAGGCAAGGCTTCAATTGCAGTGCTATGCCCACCATCTTGCCTATTTTGACTCCCTGCTCTGCAGATGCAGCTGGCAACTGGTGAGCTGGCAAGTGATGAAACATGGAGGTAATGGAATGTTTCCTTTTGTTGTCTGTGTTTGAAAACCTGGAAAAACATTACTGTAATTTTCCCAGTTTCTGGAAGTCATCGCTGACATGTAAAAC